TCCTTACTACTGCCCTGGCCCTCAGTACAGAATATAAATTCATGAATTTGTAATGTTATCTTAATTTTTCTGACATTCAGCTTATTTTTATGTTGATGCTATTGAAGTGTAATCTATTGATAGTATTGATTCGATGTTATTTAAACATTAATGTTGTTCATAACACTAATTCATTCATTCACTATGATGTATATATAACTGTAGAGCCTGATGATGAAGTTATCGAAAAGAGTATTTTTTGTTCAGTATCCATTCTTTTGAAAGTATGTAGGAGAAAATGGAGATGTATCGGGCATACGTTGAGGATGCTGTCGAATGACATCACACTCTAGGCCCTCGAGTGGAATCCAAATGGGAAGCGATGAGTGGGCCGTCAGTGTGAGGGTGACAATGAGGAGATCGTGCGAGGAGGATATGAGAGATAACGGGCAATTGTGTACCCAGCTGAAGAGGATGGCACCAAATAGCACAAAGTGACGATGTATTGTTGAAGCCAAATGTTCCACTCGGAACCCAAGCGAATAATAGTGATAATCAGCACTAGGTGACAGTTTAATTCTCAAAGGGGTGTCAGTTGTTTCGAGGTTGTTGATAAGCTTTTCTCATTGTTTCGGTATGAAACCTAAACCAACGAATTTCTGCCATGGAACACTAGTTAAAAAGGCACTGCAGTGATAGTTGTGATACCTGATTTTGATCATACTGCAAACTTGCTTTGGCAGCATAAATAGACTAGGTCAAATCAACAGCTCTACTGAGCAGAGACTGAATAAATTATTTATGTTGCATATTATCATTCATTGTCAACTTTAAAAACAAACATAGCGAAGACAAATTACATTTTTTTGCAGTACTTCAGATTTATTTGAATTCGTCGATTCAGTATTTGATGCTCATATGTCCGGGAAGAAAATGACGTCCATGGATGTCACGTTTCTTTTCACTAATGTTCATCTCAGTGAACTTATTCGCTTTATCTGCGAATTCATCGAGGATAATAGAGTAGACGTGGGTGCATTGATTTACTACTTAAAGGAACTACTATTGAGAAGCGCTTTTAATGCCCAGTTCAAGTTCAGTAACCCGCTCTTTAGACAAAGAGATGAAATGGTAAGGGGGTCACCATTGGGTCCTTTAATGGCAGACTGCTTCTTGGTAGGTCTAGAGAATAGTATGTTACGACCCCCTATCGATAGTTTTCATATGTATCGAAGATACATGGATGATACTTTTATCATAGAAATGATAATTAAGGAGCTCAGCAACTGCCATCATGTCATTCACTTCGCATCGGAATTCCATTTTTTGGATGTTCTGATCTGATGGTTCTCTTCAAAACTCGATCAACAGGAAACCAACATGGAATAGTCAATACATGAATTTTCATAGTTGGGTCCTTTGAGAAGGAAGAGAAATATGATCCACTCCTTGTCCTCAATAATAAGAAGGGTATGTACCAGTGGTACAATCGTTGGTGAACCAGGGAGACTCAGACGACTCCCCATGAAAAAGGGATACCCTTCAAGATTCACCAAGAAAAATATGAAAGTGAAGCGAAAACCCAAAATAACCCAGACGCTGCTGAAGAAACTGCTATTTATGAACAATGAATTTAAGTGTGATAACGCTGCTGAGATTAAGAATCTTATGGACCACTTATCCAGATCACTGAGAAAAGCCTTCTTTGCGGCTGAGCTGCGGATCATTTTCTAAAGCCGACAAGTGATCAATGGATGCGTGAAGGATAAACTGCCGCCTTGGACCACTTCAGTGTGTGTTTAAAAATTCACCTGCTCCTGCAGAGCTAGTTATGTTGGCTGCACAAAGCTTACACTTTCCAAACGCATCTCTGAACATTACCCGGCATAGTTAGCAAAAGGACAATCGAAGACAGTTACTAGATCAATTCTCGAGCAGTTGATGAATTCAAGCCACGCAGCTGCACCATAGTTGCCTTTTTATATTATCTACAAGATGAGATGGTGCGTCGGTGGCATAGCGGTTAGGACGCTTGCCGACCATGCGCATGGTCCGGGTTCGATCCCCGGCCGATGCACTCCTTTACCTCGCTAAGCCAGAAATAATGCTGGTGAACAGGGAAAGGTTGGGCATGAGGCTAGCAACCCCATCCTGTAAACTAAACACTGCTACAGAAACTTCAAGTCACTAGCTTGAAGCCCTATGTTCCACTGGGGAACGTGAAGGGAAAAAAACAAGATGAGACCGAGTGGTATAAAGGATGCTAGGTTTCGGTATTTGTGTATGGCGGAGACGTTGGCAGTTCGTCAACACAACCTCGAATGCTGTGTACAGACAAAGTTTGTTCAGTCTCTTATTCCACAATGGTCTTAGCCTCTTCACTAGTCGTTCCCTGTAAATTTTTTTATTTTTAATGGTAACTTCGTCTTTACTTTGATAATTATTTTACTATTATCATTCTTACGTGTTTCTTTTATAATTTTTTTCGCACCCTCCTCACACATTTTAAATGAACACTCAACTACCTTTCTTCTCACTAAATAACGATTTTAACCTTATCAAATTTCTAACTCTTTTTTCCTTTGCACCGTGGAGTATTACGTAATTTGTAACTTTTATTTTTATGGCTGTACAATCTCTGAAGATGATTTCGTCCTTAACGAAAATTTTATTCGTTGAATTGTTTTTTTATTTCCTTCATGACTCAATGTATACTTTCAGAGATTTAATACTTCTTCTTAATTTTAATTCGCAGTGGCCGAATACCAGTGAGGCAAACAACAACACGTCGAGGAAAGAAATAAGAAATTCGTGTTCGGCAGAATTAATTGTAAGGTAAACAGACAGTAATTAGGCACAAACAGTAATAAACATGTAGACAATACATCAGTGGAGATAGTTAATCACTATACTTCAGTACTAAAGAGGCTGATAATTTGAACTTGTTCCTCATTACTTTACGTAATAATATACATAAGATGGATATAAAGTTTAGAGTAGGGTACAGTAGAAAATTTCTTTGAGATGTATAAAGGAAATTAGACATGTACAAGGAAATAAAATATACTATTCTTTCATCAACCAGTTAGTATCCTGTATTTTTCTGATTTTCTTCCCCAAAGAAAATCGTCTTTCTTACAGGTGTTTTGCACCAGATATTTTTCAAAGTAACTACAATGTGGCTATTTCAATAGAGGAGGTAAAAAGAAGAAATGCATTTAATTGAAAAACACCTTTAATTGCAATGCATTGTTTACGTTATATAGTGCTGAAAGGAGGTAAAACAAGTGTAATCAGTGGTTTTTAGCTGATTAAACTCTATTTATTACCGTACTACACAAAGATTTATGTGCCAGTTACACCCTGTCTCAGAATGTTAGGAAAGCATAGTATTTCTGCGGGTACTTCCATTGAGTAACATATCAAAAACATTTATTTCAAAATAAGTCATCTGATGGAGTCAAATTTCTTTACCTCACTGCGTATGTTCTGATGAAAGTATACGTAATTTTTGATTGCGTTGAAACGCCGTACTAGTTAGAGTTTTAAACACAGTCGTATGCAATGAGGGACGTATCAGTTAGGTTGGAATATATATTGGCACAGAGGTAAAAGTTTCGTTCACCACCTTTCAAACTATTATCTAAGGCACTACTGAGATATAAGTTCCTCAAAGGTTGCAGATACGTCTTGCTGACGACTGCCAGCAAGCATAAAATCTAGTTTCACGGCTTCTTGCTGAATGCCTCCAACCATCCAAAATCAACTGAGAGTGCACCATAGTGGCCAGTCATCTACACTGATGATCAGTTAACTAACTTGACTGATAGAATTCAGTATGAACCAACACCAGGGACTAGACGTATGACGTCAGTTACTTATTAGTGACCCATCAGTGTATAGATCACAGTTTTACAAGAGGTCAGTGGTGAATCCAAACAGATCACTGGTAGCGATTATAAATGAAGCACTGGATGACGCAGATTCGAATCTCAGGAGGAACATATGTTCCTTCAGTGTTCCAGATTCGCCTAGATGACAAGTGCCAACAGGTAAAAATCTTGGTCCAGTACCTCTTGTTGATTGCTTCCAACCATCTACCATACAGTAATCTACTTTGTCATACTTTGTAGTTGTGAGAAATGGAAGGTGAAAGTAATATCTAACAGTGCTTTCATGAAAGTTGTCACCACAGCATTCCAGGCATGTTCGAGAACAATGGAATGAACAGTTAGGTATACAGTACTTAATATTAGCAAGCCCGTAAATAAGTCCATAAAGATATACAACGGCACACTGAACCAACATCTGATTCAGCATGTAGTGATAGCAGAATCATAGATAATTTGTTAAAATTAAAGGTGATCATTCCATGGTGCGGCACCTACCTATAAAAGTTTCTTACTGCTAGTTTTAATCACATATGCTAGTACAGAATCGGAAGAAGAGGTTTACGAAATATATGAAATCGGAGGTTGGAGACGCTATCTATTATGGTTTAGGCGTATAAAACTATTACCACTTTTTAAATTCCTGATGCCTAACTTATTGTTCATGTACTTGCCTAATACCTTGTTTTCCTGTCTTCTTATAACAGATGTAAAAGCATGGACCAACGTAATTATGTTCTTGACTCCATGATGTTCATTTTGACTGTTTGATAAATCAAATGTAGGAATGTATGAGAGAAACAAAATAAGTAGAAGGTAAAACAGTGACTGCAGAAAATGGAAATGATTGGTACTCTTAAATGTTAAGTACGAAAAACTCAAAGCAAGTCCGTAGAATTTAATGATAACTTAGTGGCAGTCACCTTCAAAGATCTGGGTTCTAAATTACTGATATGCGAGTGTGACCAGTATTATCTCGAAGAGTTATAGATTAAAATCAATCAACTCTAACGATGTGATTTGTTCATCAGATATTCTTCTATTGTTTAGTCCTGATAGAAATTATCATCACATGTAAGACAATTGTTTTAATTCGCTTTACTTATGTAGTTAAATATGATTTAAATACACCTCAGTTACTCACTGTTTTTATGAAAACCTGTCTTAAGACGGGTTGAACATTTAGAGAATACAGCAGTTAAGGGAAAACTAACTTCTACTCAAAGGTGAAATCGATTGGGATTCAAGTACAAATTACTGTGATATTAATTCATCACATTAAATTACAAACTCGAAACTTACTTCATTTGAATTAGAATTAACTTCCACAGTTTCTATAAACTTCCTGATATGATGAAACGTTTCTGGCCCTTCAAAATCTATCTGTTCTGTTGATTGCCGAGGGAAAATTTTAATTCTAGGCATTTTTTTGGCTTTCAGCCCTTCATATTCATTTAGCTCATAGTTAGAGTAACCAAATAATAAATCATTGCGACCAAGTTTATAATAATGTTCAGCTAATTTTGTAAAATATTCATATATAGTTCGATTGCATCCGATGCACCAATTCGCTGCTATAAAATATACATTATGAAATTGACTAGAAATAATAAAAGTTATTAAACATTGAATAACTTTAATTTTAGCTACATATATGAATTGTTCACCAGCATAAACACATTACAATATAGGGGTACTTGTAAAAGCACTTTTTGTGACTCCGTCAGAAAGGGTGAAAAATATTTATATTGCATTAGTAATGGTTTAGAAGGGAAAACCGAAGAACACTGTTAAGTCACATGATAGACAATATGTTGAGCAAAGAAAAGACAGAAGTGAATTCCCGTGGACGGCGAAAGCTAGTAATTCATTTTATGATTAGTATTAAAAATCTGTTCATGATATACAATGCTAAACTATTATAATATGATTTCATAAATAATACGACAATCTGGCCACTGAAGCTGGGAAGGCAGCAGGCAAAAGGGACCTGAGGACACTATATCAGATAACCAAGTATCTATCCGGGAAGAGATCAACAGAAGTGAGACCTATCAAAGACAACCAAGGGAACCCAATTACCAAGGAAGAAAGACAGATTAAACAATGGGCGGATCACTTCAAAGGACACTTGAACCCACCACCACCTGCAACCCGTCCAGAAATACCAACAACAGCACGTACACAACTGCAAGTTGACACCAATCCTCCAACGAAAGCTTAAGTCTTGAATGCAATCAAGCTTCTGAAAGCTGGAAGAGAAGCTGGACCAGATGGAATACCCCCAGAAGCACTGAAAGCGGACCCAGAGACGACAGCAGACATGCTGACTCCATTACTGCGAAAGGTCTTGAAGGAGGGAAAGGTGCCTACTGACTGGAAGAAAGGTTATCTAGTGAAACTACCAAAGAAGGGAGACTAAGAACTCTGCGAAAACTGGCGAGGAATCATGCTCCTGTCAACACCAAGTAAAATTCTGAGTTGCATCATCCTGGAGAGAATCAAGGACGCACTGGATACAGAACTCCAACCAGAACAAGCTGGATTCAGGAAAGGCAAATCATGTTCTGACCAAATTGCAACTCTACGCATCATCATCGAACAAAGCATGGAATGGCAATCAAACCTCTACCTCAACTTTATAGACTTTGAGAAGGCCTTCGACAGCGTTGACCGCGAAGTAATTTGGAAACTACTCAAGTACTACGGCGTACCCCAAATATTCATCAACCTCGTTCAACAGCTGTACGACAACGGCACATGTCAAGTGATCCACAACGGAAAACTCAGCGAAGCGTTTGGAGTAAACACAGGAGTCAGACAAGGGTGCTTATTATCACCAATGATATTCCTAATTGTGGTGAACTGGATTATGCGTCAGACAGTGCAAAACGAGAAGACAGGGATATCCTGGACCGACGTGAAGAACCTAGAAGACCTGGATTTCGCGGATGATTTATGTTTGATGTCACACAAAATCGAAGACTTACAAGCGAAAACCGACAAACTGGTCGAAGAAGCAGCCGGTGAAGACAGGACTCCAGGTGAACATAGACAAGACGGAGGTTATGAAAATAACCAACCAATCAACAACAACAACAACAACAACAGCAACATCCAGCGCCAATCACCATCAACTGGAGGGATTTGAAAGAGGTTACTTCACTCACTTATCTAGGGAGCATTGTCTCAACCACAGGAGGAATGGACGAGGATGTCAAATTGAGATTCGGGAAGGCGTGAAACACACTCATCAACCTGAAACCAATCTGGAAATCTCCGTCACTCAGCATCAACAACAAAATTCGGACTTTCAGTACAAACGTCAAGTCAGTTCTTCCATACGGATCAGAAACTTGGCGGGTCACAAAGAACATTTCCAACAGGTTGCAGACCTTTATCAACAACTGTCTTCGTTCTATACTCAAGATCAGATGGCCGGAAAGAATCACCAACAAGAAGCTATGGGGGCAAACGAAACAAGAACCAGTCGCCCAACAAATAAACAGGAGAAAGTGGAGATGGATTGGACACTCGCAGAGGAGACCGCTGGGTGACATAGCGCGTCAGGCCCTCGAGTGGAACCCGAAAGGGAAGCGGCGAGTGGGACGTCCTAGGGTGACATGGAGGAGATCGTGTGAAGAAGAGTTGAAACAGTATGGACTAACATGGATGCAGGTGAAAAGTACAGCAGAAGACAGAAGCAAATGGAGGCGTGCAGTTGAAGCCCTATGTTCCATTAGGAACTCAAGGGAACAATAATAATATTATAATAACCCATTAATTTTGTTCTCTATAGTGCAAAAATGTTTAATGCATGAATTTGATTAATAAATAAATATCAGATGACCAACAGTAACTTAAGTAATTATTTACAAGTCTAATTTGCATTCATTTGTTGAAAGGAGATTATTCATCATAGTTCTTTGTCAAAGATCAAGCAGGCGAAAAGATTATGAATTGAAGATTGGTTGTATTACTTTTTTAGTTGAAACACACGGGAATGGATGATAAATAAGGTTTTAAATCTTGCAATGTTGCACTAATAAGTTATTACGCTATCTGATGGAAGTTCGAATAAAAACATTAAGGTCTTACTAGTGAAAACTAAAACAGATAGATACAGTTATAGCTGACTATAGAATATAATATGTATTTTCACACTCATAAATCCGCTTAAGATATACAACAAATCTGTGTACTCTGATAATGAATTATCCAACTAGATGATATTGTATAACTGTTGCTAGGACTTCAAGGATATCTCTGAAATACCACAAACTGCGAAAAGATTAACACGTTTATAGTAGATTTATATCTTTTGTTATTTTGACAGAGGTTTATTAGAGTAGTTAGTCTGTCTTCTGGTACTAATTAAAGTTGGAATCTATCATTACTTATAAGGATTACATAAACAAGTTGATTCTTCTGTGAGAAATTAGTATTGAGTTACTTTATTTTGGAGAGGAAGATAGTAAATGGGCATTTCTAGTAATGTTCCTCAGAAAACTCACTGAAAACCACAAAATATACTTTCATACATCGTGCTATGATGAAACAGTGTACTCAGTTTACACTATGGGGAGAGATTCCAGTAATCCTTTGAGAATGTTTGATACCTAAATATGTCATTAAAGTTGAATTAAATGTATTTTATTCACACCGAAATAAGGTAACGTCAGTTCTTGTGAGTGCTGATATGTTTGTGACTTTCTTAAGTTTTGATCCAATTTTTGACATTCCCTTCTTTCTCATACGCGTATATCAGTTTAAGCTTCTATTAACAAGATATCTCGTACTATTTCTGTAGTTATTCATTTTTAGGATAAAATCCGTGGTCATCATAATACAAATCATGTCAATCTGATGTTATAATGAACCTGGCAAAGCTTTAGATACAGTTTGATTCAAAATATGTTTTTAGCATACAGTTCTTGGTAAATTTTGTTTTGATACAATAGCAGATGTACTATTACCTCTGCTATTTGGTTTAGTGGTCGTCATTGTTATTTTGACCTTGAATATGTTCTTTTAACTTGACCTAAGTCTATTTTCTCACCTCTTATCTCTTTATTAATTTCATATATATTCCTATGACAAGTCCGTGTGTGATCAGATTGTTCGAAATGTGTTGCGCAAATACATTACACGATTCAGACAAATTATGTCTTCTTATGGCTTTATCTAAATTCAAAAAGGGAACTAATTGTTTTAAATACAGTTCTAAGCTTTATAATTCAATTAAAATGACAAACTGCTAAATGAATCCAAGCTAACTTTTCTAGTTACCATGTCATATAAGTTGTACAATACACTAGCTGCCGAAGTCAAACATAATACGAAATAGAGGATTAAAAAGTAGGTGATTACTGATTAACTTATAAAAAACCTTCCTCGAAATTGTGCGTATGAATTATTCAGAGTTTTAGAATAAAGTTTCAAGGGTTAGTTTGCCAGGATTAGATTCGGTTCGGGTTTGATTACGGATTGATGTCACTGAGAGGACCACTGGAATCCATGGAGTACTGCTCAGTTGTTTCGTCCTAGTTTGCGACTTTTCGGCAGTACGCACTTACCAGGTTTCAGACCCAAGACCTACCGGCTGGAAGTCGGACTCGCAGTCATTCAGCTACTGGGACCGGATCCAGTGGCCTATGAATACCAACTCCTACCAATTTGCGATATTAACGCGACCACCAGCCAATGTCATTGGCAAGTGTTTGTCCTCACACCTGACCTGGTGAACCACATTGGTTGCGACTACTCACTGGAACTCCAATTAACTTCATCCTATAGCCGGTCACTAGCGAGTGTCGGATAGAGTAAAACCTCTGCACAGAAATGTCAAGTCATTTATAGTAGAGAATGTCATATGAAGAGCGAAATTGCATATAATTTCATTACTGGTAACTGATAGTAAAACAGAGTGAATATAAATGTAAGAGACTATCTAAAACGCATATCCTTAAATTAGTGATTGATGTTCGAAGAAGCTGATGACTACTTTGAGCTACACCGTTATGTTTCATCAGGCTGTTTTTAAACTTAGATTTTTTGTTGAGTAAGTTTTGATGAGAAAATTGCACGGATTAAATTTGAGACGGATCCGATTCGTCTTAAAATCTCAGTAAAAAAAGCTATATAAAAATATGATAGGCATAATTATTTTGTCGTTCATTGAAATACCGTATAAAATTCTAATAAGCAGTACTTGATCACAGTTATAGAATACTTGTAAAATTTGATCTTAGTATAAAATAAATTCATTAAGCCCACTGACTGAATATCACAAGAGACATGAGATCTAGACTTTTTATCTGTTAACATTCTCACTTAAACTACCCGATTTCAAGGTTAGAGATCTCACTACTTAAATAAATGATTCACAACCAACTATGCAGGTTATGCGCATAAGTTCATTACCGAATGGGATGATCACTCTGCTCATTAAATCCCAAAGGAATTTTGGGACTCATCAATTAAATTTGAAATAGGTACGTTGATTAACTGATAACTTACTAAAATAAACAACAGATGTCCACTCCGGATTTCTCACTAATTTGTTAAATGTTGCTCCAACTATTTTGTGTACAAACCTGAGTTTATTCTGAGATGCTTTAGGTACATTACGTGAAGGTATATGTGCCAAATTCTCATAGTCATGAATTCCAATATCATCCTGTGGGATAAGTTCACTAATGTAAAAAGGTGATAATTTGTCTTGAAGGAGCCTACTGAAAAATATTTTAATTTCTTCTATTTCTATAATTTTCGTGAGACCAGGATCGTTAAACTTCTTTTGTCCAAATTCGATATTCCCACCAGTTAAACGGTAATGAAGTGTTGACGTTGATTTCGAATTAACTACTAATTGAAATCGTGGATAACCATAACCCACATGAACACCATGTTGTCTGGCAAAAGGTGAGTTGACTTCTTCACCATTATCAACAAAGTTGCAGCGTATCTATAAGCAATAAATTTGCGAAAAGTCAAAAAAACGATTTTCCTTACAACAAAAAGCTTACAAATGAGAAACCAATGTTTTAAAAGCTTATTGAGACATTGTGATGAAGAATTATCTATTTTCTGTCTAATAATGATATTAGGCATGCAGTTTACTGTTCAAGTAATCAGTATCAATATATTTTTCGACTTAGTATTACCTTAGTAGGTTATATTACTTCACATTTAGATAGACAAGTTTGCAGCATCTTGTTACCACTTACCTCTGAAACATATTAAATTGGTAAAATGTGTACAATACTACCTGAGAAATGTAAGCGTACAAAAAACATACGGGTTTTCTAGTGTTTACTGGATTTAAATTACAGCTAATAACTAGCAAATAAAATTATTATTCATTATCCAGCGATTTCAATGAACTGTTAGTAATAATTCAGGAAATACAGAAATATACGATATAGGTTAGAGGTCTAACTAATTGAACACTACACTGAAAAGGATTCTTCTTCGGTACCTTGAGTGAAGCTAAATTTAAGGTCTTTACAATTTTCATCTACAAATCCAATAGCCTATCGGCAGTTGTCGGACATTCTTTACTCTTCTGAATTATTGTATAATATTCTGGTATTATTTGTTCCTATTTTCTCTGAAAAGCAATTTATTTGGGTACTTTATGTGACTGAAAGTTTAACTAAAATCCAGGATACTGAATATCAGCCAGAACAGTTGAAAGTTGTTGCCAGCTCATGATTACATAGAAAAATAAAACCGATAATAGTGCTACTAAACTCTTTATAACAATATGAATTAAACCAGTGGAACTATTTTTCTATCGAATAGGGTCATGTTATGTTTTAATCAACTTATAGCACAATACTAGATGAACATTTTGAAATTTTGTTCACCTTTTATGTACCAAATAACTGAAATTGATAATAACGGATGACGTTTATGGTGTTGAAATATACATCACTTGTTCATAACCTGATATTGCCTATTACGAAACCTGTTTATCGTGATGCATTGGGGTCCTTCTGTTCAAATGTCTCAAACTAAGACACGACGGGCATCTATTGATACTTAGATTCCAATGATCTTCAAACTGACATTTTTCAGTGATGAAAAAAAGTAAAAAGAATTCTATTTTTCATATATCTTCCTATTACACAGTCATCTATAAGTCTGTATATTGTAAGGACACAATGCGCCGGTAAGTACTGTCTTCATAGTCTTCCAGCTTGAGGGAACTAGTTATGTTATTTTGGTTCATATTGTATTAGGTGTTTCTCGCTTAGGAGAGGTAATAGAAGGTTGACCGTGGTATTAGCGAAACTAATCATGTGAATATGGTCTCATATAGCTGTCCTGTGTACCCTCCTGTAACGCTTCCAAGTCGATGAGACAGTGCAGCTAGGCGAGATGTGCCAAAATACCCATAAAATTCAGTTATGTGATTTTTCTAAATAAGAGCTTAAAATACAAACAGGGGTATCTTAGGACAACTGGTAAACCTTCATGGACCCACATTCATTTTGACCACTAAAAAGAATGAAGACTTTTAGGAAAGAAGAGAGACGTTTTGGAAGTTGTGACTGTTTTAATTATTAATCATTCGCACCGTTTATTATTTCAAGGAGTTGTATTTACTATGAAATTTTTAAACAAACATTTTCTTGTTTTATTTAAAGTATGTAATCGAAAATAAGATTAACACATTGGTTATGCTCTCACTAGCTTATTTAATGATAAATACGAGTAGTCAACAATAAAACACAATATGGTGTACCCCAACGATTAATTTCTATGGATTGTGGTGACAATCCATGGAACATTTGACGAACCAGAGCACTATTCGTTAATTATACCTAAATCTTTAAGAAAAATCAATCCAATGGAGATGTATACGGCTTTGCTTTCATAAAAATTAATCTGTTGTAGTTTCACAGAGTTTACACACTACACTTGAGAGTTAGCTTTAGATAAGCATTTAGAGCAGCCGCTTGCATTGTTGGTTTCCCAGAGAACAATTCGGTTGCATAAGTCATCCTTACCTAAATGCGTGCAACTAAAACTTTTCATTTTTCCTGTTCAAAATGCGCCTCTTCCAGCATGTGGGTTTCTGAAGATGTTGTCAACTAACCTACTCATTTGCATCAAACTACACATCACTCATTAGTTGAAGTGAGTAGTTGTATGCCACTCATATCAACCAGTAGCGCTTGCTAGTCAGATCGGGGTGATCTAAATATTGGAAGGTCATTGCGCTCGTTTTGAAGCGAGCTCATGAGCGATGAGATTTCACCTTCCCAGACTTTGTAAACCGCAGATTATGAATCTGATCAAATTATTTACACTATGGTATTCGAAATTTTTCTGCTTCATTTTAGTACTGCTGGCAGGGTAATCTCTATTGTTTTCATACATATATATTGGTCGGATATTAAGGAAGTGTAAAAATTGGAAATAGTGTCTTATAGTGCATTTGACTGTGTGAAGGCAAGTTAGTTGCACCAGAACTTTTCTAAAGAATGTCTGCACTTTGTTTTACTTGAATAAATATTGTTTAAAAAAATGACTACTGTTGACATAGTGTAAACACTAACTTGGCTGGGAGTATCTAAAATAACAACCACCAAACGATTCACTGCATAGATATTTCTTATGTTGATCTACTGAATCATGAAGCATATTTGTCGGCTTATGCTGAAATAGTTACAGCGGGACGAGAAACGCAATATCGTACAATCAAGTGCTTCAGTCAACTAAGTACGCATCCATAGGTTTAATTAACTAGAATTCAATCACTTTGTTCGCGTTCAAATCCCATTCTGTCTGCTGCATCCTAAAGAGGCAGGCAATATGATAAGCTCTTTAAATATAAATCTAGCTTGTAGCCTAATCCCTGAGAAAACTTTATTGATCAATTCGACTGTACCAAAAGTTTACACTCACTGATTATTTAACCTTAGTCCACATACATCTTACTATAGAAAAATACTCAACATACCTTTTTTCGGAAGAGTTTACATGCTTCCTGGTAATTGTATATTATTCGAGAAAACTCTGGATCACAGCGTAAAAGGAATAAGTATGCAATAAATCTGATTTTGCTACTGTCGAAATGGGTTAGTTCAGTAGGGTGGTATTCAGCGACATATGGAAAAGATTCAGTTAGTAAAAACGAACCCAACGATTCAATGTCCCAATTTTCTGAATAATTTAAATTAATAATCTGAAGAGAACAACATGAATGCTTATGAATTAGAATAACATTTTAATTCTTTCTAAATAGGTTGGTTCAGTGTAAATACATCGGTTAAACAAATCAAGAACTAAAAGCTTAGTTTTATATTAAAAGTACGTTAAGGATGTAGATGAAAATAACTAAATGTTCTGAACTTCATGGTGTGTAACATCAGCCTGTAAACTACTGGGTTAGGGTTAACGTTTAAACCTCCGCTTATTCATTAACATTGAGATTTACTCAGAGTGCTTGTCTGACTTTGTTGGCAAACTGCTTAGAAACTTTACCTTCTGCTCAAACAGTCTAAGCTCAGGTTATGATACCTTCAAAATATAACATTTACGACAGCTGAATAATTTGTAAAATTATCATCATGGGATTCATCTGGAAGTGGTGAAGTGAGTAGTGTCAAAACCAGTAGCCATCTTTCTCCCTATGATTGCATGTGTAAAATGTCAAATTCTCCTTCAAGTTGAAAAAACTTTGTTATGCAGACAGTCACGTATTAGTTAATTAGTTAGGTTACCAGACTGTTAATTTTATTATTTGTTTTATGTGGAGAAACTACTCCAGCATGAATTAGATATACTTGAGAAATGATGTTCATTCCAAATACTTACATAGTGATATAAGTTGAGTTACAAATTCACTCGTAATTCTATAGTATCAGAACGTGGTTAATAAAATTAAATAAATTTCTAGATTGTAACAATATAAATAAGTCTGAAAAAAAATTACTGAATACCTCAGCGTTATTCGTTTCTTTTCTAATGAGTAATAATTTCTGATCAGTTATATTGAAGTGATCATGAACTGTTCGATTATAAACTAAACCATAGGCAATATAATCAACTTGTTGGGCGACAAAACTAAGATTACTCAGTACTTCTTGGCTGGTGTCCTGTAAAGGAATTCAGAGAAAAAAGTGTAGGAATCTATTAAAAGTACAAATATACAACTTGGTTCATCACCGTTATGATTATTATCACCGGTGAAGGTCTTTTCTTTTATTTATAAAAAGAAATAATTGTATTAGAGTTGGATTATGTTTAGTTTTAATCTTAGGATTCTTATTATTCGTTACTTTTCATTTTCAGCGCCACCTAACAAGAACCGAAAAGTAGGTTCATAGTAAACTGGGAACTTCATGCAGAAAAACTTGGCATTTTTGGTCATATGACATGATATTTAAGGTGTATAATTAAGAGACGCTCATTGCACTATTATATTAGACTTTCTTCACACCTTCTTAAAATTAATAATACTCCCTAAACTATTCATCAGTAATCACAATATAGGTAGATGGCCTTTAATATTTGCGCATAATGTTATCTTCTGGAGCATCCTTCCTACGTCTAGCACAAATATCTCCAAATTGAATATTATTCAATAAAAGACATATAGCATATAGGAAGAATGCTACTATAGCTAGACTGTATCGAAGAAATTTTTAAAGAGTAGATATAATAATGAAGTCATTTAAAGGGTTTTCATGATGAAAAAGGTTCGAACATCTGTTCACCAACTAGTTAGCATAGTAAAATTTAGATTTGTTTGAAAATACTTTACGACTCTGCCTCATTATTTCTGGTTCCTCCCGTTCCAGGTAAGTTACATAGCTTCAGCAGCATATCTCAATTCTAATCTAGTATTTGCCAACATTTTTAGCTTTTTCCACTATTACTAAGTAACTTTCATTTTCTCTTTACATGATCTTCATTTCACCATCGGATGTCCATCTCTTTGCTTCTTAATACATGTACCACTCAACCGACTGCCCGGTGTGTGATACCACTAAAGTCTCTTTATCGTCTGTTCAGTCGACATCCACGTTTTTTCTGCGTCTTTGTTGGTCAGTCGGTTCTTGGTTGGTTCGCTGAGAATTTTCTGTAGCCCAAAGTTATCTAATCAACAACGTTATACGACTCAGAAATAATGTGTCAAATAATGAATCATACTCAACAATGAAATGTTATTTTGTGTCACCTGAAATGTTGTGCGTCAAAAGTATTCAATGTTCAAATTACTTTTTAGCTCACTGATTGAATTCATTGATATCTTATTACTATTTCAAATGTGCTCTTGGCATTAGATGCTTCTAGTATTTGACTGCTGCATTGAAGTAGTTTTTATTTTTCAACATTTCTAAGCGCTAAAACCTAAAATAACCACTGTGCAATACATAGTACTGTCACAAGGCTAAACTGACATGATGAAATAATTTTTATGAATATACTTATAAAATATCCTTTGTGGCAAAACTCCTATCATCCTTGGTGTAGCTGTGTTCTTTGAGCTGAACGGTCTCATAGTTAAGCTCTCATTGTCTTCCTAGAAAAAATCTTCAGCACAGATTTTATCCCCTTGATCTGCTGAGCTTTTCGATCACTTCTATCATTATTCTTAAATAATTATGAAAACAGTTATTTACCAGTTAAATTAAGCGAAATATTTTGTATCTTCATAACACTCCGACTGTTTTTCTACTGTTGATGACAGTTTCTGGCTTATCTTAAAAGAAGATATCAAGAAGTACATATGTTAATATTCCAACAAATCGGATTAAAAGTTGTTGTTTGTTGATGAATATTAACAATTTATTTATATTTTCAATCGGTCGCTTTGTGTCGTATGAAAGTAATGTTTTAAGATAACATAGAATAATTAGCAGTTATTAAGACATTGTGAGTAAAAAAAATCTTGTCGGTCATTAAATTTACTACAAAACCGTTTAATTTTCATGAAAGTAATGTGTAATATTAACAGACTCATGGCTTAATGATTTTTTTTCACAAGCCATATACAAGAATACATTTTTCTGACTTTACCTTCATAAAGATAATTGAAATCAATTTATTGTTACTGACAAGTTCTTTTGCTTCATTTAAATTTCTTAACAGCTTTATAGGAGAGGCTAATTTTTGTTTTATCCATTCATATATTAAATTGGTGTTGTGTTCATTGATTCTTTTCGATTCTTTAAATTCATATTTTAATTGTCCACCGTTGTAAAAGTATGTAATCGATGGCGACTGCGTTTTAAACAAAATAAAACGTGATGTTAAAATGGGTTATAAGAGTAATGGGATGGTAGCATAAATGATAATGATTTAGACTTATAACCACACTGGAAAACATGAATAAAGTAGCACTAATAATAACTACTAAAGAAAATCCTCAGAACTGCTTATATGTAAGTGAACATTTCATTGTTTCATAAAATTTGTTTTATATTGAAACAGAGCTCTTTGAACATTGTTTTCTGTAAGGTATTCACTGCAGTTACCGATGTTCCTTATAGTTAAAAACCTTGATTATTTTCGCCGATGAAAGCGTTTCGTTTTCAAACGATAAATTACTTCTTTTTACCTTTACATTAGACTTACGATGCATATCCAGAAAATTTCAAATTTTTCTGAATATTGTCGTTTCCAATGAACATGTGTGAAAAGTGTGCAGAACCCACGATGTCCAGAAAATGGTTGTTTTTCTACTGTCAAGCCGCAATCCTTGCCAAACACTAGTTTGAAGTGGACAAAGATGAACGGTATTTAGAAAAACAAAAACAGGATCAGATGCATGAATATTCATTCGAGTTTAGCCTATCCCGCAAAACACCATGCAGAGCTAAGCGAAGTACGATCACATGCTGAAACCTTCAAGTCAATCATATCTCAGACCATTCCCATCCTCTGAATGAGTGAAGCGTGCCATTGTGCATAGTTGGTAATACATGAAACACAAACCACGTATTTAAACACTTGACCTCACTTATAAGTGTCCAGTACGTATAGTAAATAAAGCCTGCATTTTATTAATGTGTTATATATATATATATATATATATATGAACTTACATAAATATTTAATTTTTCTACCACATCTTCATAGTATGTAGCACAGAGGGTAAATGCTAAAACTGGAAGTCCACTTTCATTAATTTTATTAACCATGTCATGAAATTGTTTGATAATTGATTTCTGCTTTGTGGTATGTTCATCTACAATTGGAAAAATATAGAAATCAAACACTTGAACAAATTATTCCCAAAACTGTTGAGGAAAAATTTCCTCTGTAGTCCAAAAAGTAATAAAAAGTAACTCCTGTTGAAATCATCTAGGATATTCTTAGTTTGGCAAACTTATGCGATGGATGCTGGGTCTGGTTCTTATTCATAACAACAATAATTAGGATTTCTCTGTTACCTATGATCGATGAAATAACGATAAAGTGGTAAACAGAGTTACAAGCGTTAATCAGTTTACAGTGAAAAACAAATCCTTACTGACAGTTTGTGTGAAAGGAATTTGTATCAATGAAGTTGTCCTAAATATAAGATTCTATCTGGATCTGGGCAACTGTTTCGTCTTAGTTCTGAAGTTGTCAACACTTGGCACCTGTAATCCTATGCACTGTTGAGATTCAGATCACTGAGTCACAGATCCAATGAACCGAAATCCAATGACCCGAATTTTGTAGTTTGTTCTAACTCAGTAATCTGATATCTTCAATGAGTAACGTTTTGAATATGCAAACTGAAAGACTCTACCACTCGTCTCAGTTGAGGCATTCCTTATTCAAATATTTAATCAGAATATAATTGGTTAGTTTTTACACTTTTGGATGACATAGAGTATAACACAAAAGTCTTCATTATGGTACTAGTATTTCTGCCAGCACCTCTCATTATATCACCTTACATTTTACATAGTTTATCGCTGAAACAGTCAAGCGAACCACAAAAATTTAACTGCGAAGTTCTCATTTTCGTTCTAGACAACACATTCAGGGCTAATTTCAATAAAGTCTCATTGAACGAAGTGGTGAAGATTTTATCCAGAAGGTGACCTAGTTAAATAATTGAGATCAGAGGACACAAAAATACCAGAAATATTCGCCCAGGCCAAAAATCTCAGCTATGATGGCATTAAACTTGTGCCTCTTGCTCGGAAGTTTCACTAGATAATTGTAAAAAACAGAACAAAGTAGGTCTGTAAAAATAAGAGCTGAAAGGCAATTGTTGTGATGTGCGAAAGATTTTCTTAATTACAGGATTTCTTCATGAGCTGACATTGGTTAGAGAACCATTGGAAAACCTGGGAGTACTGGACAGCTGTTTCGTCCTAGTTTGGGACTCTTCAGCAGTATACACCCACTGGGTTCTAACTCAGGACCTTCTGGTTACAAGGCGAGCTCGTAGAAAATTAAGCCACTGGGACCCGATCCAATGGCCCATGAATTCTAACTTCTTGCCAATTCACGACATAGCACGACCACTAGCCAATGTCTTCAGTGAGTAATTGTCCTCACACCCGACCTGCTGCACCCTACTGGTCACGACTTCTCACACTTAAAATAAACATGCTTTCGAGAATTCTGTCTGACGTTTTTCAATTATATCACAATTTTTGACGCAAGTTATCATACATTCAGAAAGCATTGTAATTATTTCCTACTTTTACGAGTTTATATTCTGCATTAGATGCACATGATGTTCAGCTCACGAAAGAGTAGTAACAACGAAGCACAGTAAAAATACTTCATTTATAGAATAAATCCTGGAAGTTTTGCACAATTCTGTCTGTCTAGCTATTTTGCTTATGTTTTTCATTTTCAAAAGCAATGGTTAATAAAAGTATGACTTATCTTTCACTGAGTGTTGCAGGATGTTTTTATTTCTAAAAGATATCAAGTACTTGTTGTACCAATATATTAGGCAGAGGAATTACCTGAATTCTATTCGTCTTATACACTTGTTATCACCATTTCCGTACAGACAGCTGTATCTTATTTAATTATTCCCTTTTATAAAAATAAAGGGAACTTGTGCCTATGCTCAACTTTAAAGTGATAATATGCAATATTATGTTATATTATTATATTACATGACAAAGTGATTTATGCATTAAACAAACTTTATGCATCTTCCTTCAATACTACAACCGTGAACTGGTATAACTTCACATGTTCTTGCTTAGTTTACTAGCTCTCCTAGGAATAAAACACCTGAACGAATATATTTAGATGATAGTGTGATGACACATTCGCCTCTTCAGGACTCAGCATTCAACTGTGGAAGTCATCAATTCTACAACAGCGTTTACAGTAAACTAATAAACGTTTGCTTGGCATCAGTTCCATAACAGCATCTAACCAACTTGAACAAAGCTGTCGTTCAAATCACTGTTATTTCACTTTACACCCACATATTTATTTATCATTTGATTGCGTGGAGGATTTCATCATGAGCTGACATCAGTTAGAGAACCACTGGAAAACCTGGGAGTACTGGACAGCTGTTTCGTCCTAGTTTGGGACTCATCAGCAGTACGCACCCACCGGGATTCGAACCCAGGACCTTCTGGTTACAAGGCGAGCTCGTAGACCATTGAGCCACTGGGACCCGATCCAATGGTCCTTGAATTCTAACTTCTGCCAATTCACGACATAGCGCGACCATTTCGCAATGTCTTCTCAGATGAGTTACTGCCTCATCTCCAACCTGCTGTACCCTACTGGTCACGGCTTCCCACTAGAAACCCAGGTTAACTGCCTGAATAGGGCCAGTCACTAGTGAGCATTAGATCAGCTCATGATGAAACCCTCCACGCAATCAAACAAAATCCCTACAAAACCAATACTTGAAAATATTTATCATTTCTCAAGTTTTATATGGAACCAAATATAATTAATCTAATGCTCACTAGTGACTGGCCCTATTCAGGCAGTTAACCTGGGGTTCTAGTGGGAAGCCGTGACCAGTAGGGTACAGCAGGTTGGAGATGAGGCAGTAACTCATCTGAGAAGACATTGCGAAATGGTCGCGCTATGTCGTGAATTGGCAGAAGTTAGAATTCAAGGACCATTGGATCGGGTCCCAGTGGCTCAATGGTCTACGAGCTCGCCTTGTAACCAGAAGGTCCTGGGTTCGAATCCCGGTGGGTGCGTACTGCTGATGAGTCCCAAACTAGGACGAAACAGCTGTCCAGTACTCCCAGGTTTTCCAGTGGTTCTCTAACTGATGTCAGCTCATGATGAAATCCTCCACGCAATCAAACAAAATCCCTACAAAACCAATACTTGAAAATATTTATCATTTCTCAAGTTTTATATGGAACCAAATATAATTCTACTGTAGTGTAACATTGATAAGGAAACATAAACATCAACAACTTACAGAAGTAAACAACAACGTGTTTCTCCACTGATAATATTTGATAAAGGGTAGTATTATCAATATGTTCAGCTTCACCAACAATACTGTCATTCTGACCATGCAGAGAATAAAAATTAATAGTTAGGCATAAAATCCATAAGATGTTAAATTGTAAGTGAAACAGTCTTCTTGAATACATAATTATCTGAAATCTAGAAAAACAAATGGGAAGGAGGATAAGCGGATGAAGAGATTGTGATAATCGTGTCAAATTCATGTTCATTTATGATATTAAATATTTGAACAGCTAATAATTTGCGAAATGTCATCCGTCGATAAAACTAACTGTGATAGTGGAAAAAGACTTACACCCAACTATTAATAATTACTTGGCATACTTATTCTTATTGTATAATAATTAAAACCTTGTAAAGATATTTGTAACTTGCTTCAGTACAGTACCAGCAACACAAAAAAATATTCCTGATACCGCTTTTAAACTGGTGTTAGTTTTCAGATGGTTCGCTTACAATTAATGGGATGTTGTGTTCCTGTATGTGAGCTAAAAGCTTCAAAAAAACTGTGGACATAAATCAGAGCTTTTGTTTACAAGTATCAACGGACTTATCAATCGCGGGTATACCGGCAAAGGGAAATTTATGAACGACACAAACTTGATAGTATTGCGTCCACGTTATAACTGCTACATACCAAACTAACAGCATGAAATTCAAATGACAGTTGTTATAATGCTATCGATAGCTGTTACTCCAACTTTATTTCATTATCAAATTTGAATATGCAGTGCGCATGGTATATATATATATATATATATTTTTCTTTAAGTTATTTTCCGGTTAATGATTGATTTATCATGAAAAGCACTTGAATAATTCTATATTTTTATGCTAGCTCTAGATTCTACAGTCCTCCTTTTTATTTAGCTAAGCTAATCGTTATAAGAAGTTTATAGTGGTATGTAATCTTTTTATTCAAGTACTGTTCCCTATTCAACACCTGAACATACGTTAAAGTGAACTTTCACACGGACTTTTTCAATTAACTGTCATCTATTGACAACTAATAAAAAATCAAGTGAACTATAAAATAAATGTTTAATTATATTAGACATACAAATTTACTGAAATAAACATGAGTTGACAATTTAGAATAAAAATAATAAAATATCTTTTTTATTGTTTGTAAACTTAGAGCAAATTTACTCGGTAATATAAGTTTAATAAATTATTTCACATTTTTGAAGTATCTCACCTTTTTATGAATAGGCCACTAAAGGTTAAGTTGTAAATTTCAGATATTTCGTCAGTTTTCTATTTCTACAGAATTTGGAAAAGAAACAAATTAGAAAAATTAATTGTTTGACTGAATGTTGAACTATTAATATTATCTTGTTAAATGCTCCTAAACTCTTCATTCCCACTTCGTTAGTCCGTAAATTGTGACTAGACTGGTATTTTGCTATAATGACTTGTGTACAAGCTAAATGAAATCCTTTTCACTTCTAATCTACTCAGTACTAATTAAGCAAATGTTATAGGAATAGAATATAGTCTATCCGAGAAATGCTGATTTTAATCTGCAAGTAGTATAAGTTAGCATAAGAATGATTTTTTCATTGTGTAGATTCGAATCTTAGCCCCTGAGAACACAGCTGATATGACTGAAACAGATATGAAGGGAGAAATACGGAAAAATATTCTGTATATCAAGTTGCCACATGTGTGATCTAAAATAGGATTGACACAGATGGGTCACTGAAACTGAACAACTTTTAAATGACATAAGGGGATGATTTACCAACTTTGGGCTTATAAGTGGTTCGCTATCATGACGCCAACTGCCCGACTTATTGAGTTATTCATATGTTAGAAAAATATTCTGTCTTTGAAGCTCATATTCTTTTAACTGTCAGCGCTAAAACAAAGTGAGTGATTAAGGGAGACAAGCTTATTTAAAACAAAATGTAACTGCATCATTATTTTTTGGTAAGCAGTACTATTGGTTTGATTCACAAGACATTAACCGTACCCTATTCTCAGTGCTGTGTTAATAGATGTCCACAGGAATTTATTATTATTTCTCCTTTAGGTTCCTAGTGGAATACAGGGCTTCAGCAGCCTATCGCCATTTCACTTTGTTCTCAGTAGTCTTCTTAATTGACTTCAAAGTTGCTCCTATGGTTTCATTTTCTCCTCATACGATCTTCTCTATATTAGTGTTGGATGCTGAGCTCATCATTTCCTACTGGGATTCCACTCTACGGCCTGGCATCTGATGTCGCTCGACGGTCTCCTCAGCATGTGTGCTATTCATTTCCAATCTAGTTTGGTTATTTGTTGAGCAGCAGATTGCCTGCCGTTCGCCAGAGCTCTTAATGACTGATCGATTGCGGTGGAACATGTGATTTTCAAACTCAAGTCATCGGAGATAACTGTTTACGAAGTAACCTGTTGGAAATTCTTGTAGTAACGCTTGCACCAAGTATATGAATCATTTAGAAGTACCAAATTGACATCTGTCAAAAATTCAGATGATGTCCCCTAAGCTGTAGATTTCCACATTGATTTCTCTTTCGTATTTCCATCGAAGTAATTGAAGAAATTAGTTGGTGCACCGGCAATAATTCGGAAATCATTGGTAGCCAAAAAGGATTTGACAGTTGTTTTGTACCAGTTTGAGAATCTTCAGTTGCGCATATAAACAACCACATCTTTAATCAAACTAAAGGTGTTTAGTTTATTAGGTTAACACTTCAGTGTAAATCCAGTGGTCTATGAATTATAACTCCTGTAAATAAAATAACCTTATGCTCTAAATGCTTTGAAGAAGTATATTTTTGATTTCCGTAATTATAGAGTGCTCCAAACAGTTTATCTATGCCTAAATAATGTTGCTGTCTTTCTGCTACGGTTGCATGTAACTGTCGTAGTGAGAAATTACTTTTCTTGTCTCTTCTCTTTTATCGTGCATTCCACAGATGACAGCACCTGGAAACATGATTTTTTTTTTCCATTCTCCCTGCTTTTGTTTGCTTTGTAAGTTTGAATAATCGACATAAGGAAAAACCTGCATCATGCATTTTATGAAATCTTTCTTAAAAAGAATGGTACATAATGATATAAAGCATGAGGCAGGAGTCAAGACTAATCATCTCATGTCATGTGCATAAGCAGTTCAATCTTAACTAGTGAAATTTTGAAACAGATGCTGCTCGGCATAGTTTATTTTTACCATCTTCACACCAAATCAAGGTCAAAAACGAGTACATAAAAAACGTTTGGTAGGTTTGCGCTGTGTGTTATTATTGATTATTTTCATACTATTAATTTAAGATAATAATAATTATAAGAACCAAATCTCAACACTACGGATAATCATTAAACAGAGCTTGGAATGGTAGTCACCTCTCTATCTCAACTTCATCGACTTTGAAAATGCATTCGACAGCGTCGATCGAGAGGTGATTTGGGAAATACTTCGCTACTACGGGGTGACGCCAACAACCATGCATCTTATCCGACAGTTGTACGACAATGCTGCATGCCAAGTAATCCACAACGGGAAACTCACGGAATCCTTCGAAGTGAAGAGGGGTGTAAGGCAAGGCTGCCTACTATCGCCAATGATTTTCCTGATTGCGGTAAATTGCATAATGCGGCAGACAACGGGCAGCGAGAAAACAGGCATAAAACGGACCCTCATGAAAAACTTGGAGGATCTGGACATCGCCGATGATATATGTCTGATTTCTCACAAAGATATGAAAGTGAAGAGCAACAAATTAGTAGAAGAAGCATCAAATATAGGACTTCAGGTGAACATAGAGAAAACAGAGGTGATGAAGACTCCAGGCCAACAGCAACAACAACAATCAGCATAAATGGTAGGAACCTGAAAGAAACAACCTCCTTTACCTACCTGGGAAGAATCATTTCAACCACAGACGGAACTCCATTATGGATAAGATTTTATTTTGATAAATCACACAGTGCTGTACAGTAATATTGATATATATATATATATATATATATATATATATATAAATTGATATAATTATGAGCAATAGTTTATGCTCGAAACGTTATCAGTTAATATTACTGTACAACACCGTGTGATTTATCAAAATAAAATCTTATGCATAATGGAGTTATGCTCTACCACAACGCCCAAGCTTTATACTTATATCGATAATACAGACGGAACTGACGAGGAAAACAAATCGAGGATCAGGAAAGCAAGGCAAGCTTTCATTACTCTCAAGTCTGTATGGAGATCAACGGCACTCAGAATGAAAAATAAGATCCAGATATTCAACTCCAATATGAAATCAGTGCTACTATACGGATCAGAGACTTGGCGTGTCACAAAGAGCACCTCAAACAAGCTACAGACATTCATTAACAGATGTCTTCGCTCAATGCTCAAGATCAGATGACCAGAAAGGATTAGCAACAGGGATCTCTGACAATAAACGAACCAACCAGGAACCGATTGTGAAACAAATAGGCAGGAAGAAATGGAGATGGATTGGCCATACTCTGAGGAAAACATCAAGTGACATCACTAGACAAGCCCTCGAGTGGAATCCGAATGGGAAGCAGCGAGTTGGTCGTCCAAGGGTGACTTGGAGGAGGTCATGTGAAGAGGAGATGAAAGCATGTTGGCAGACATGGAGCCAAGTGATAACGTTGGCAGAGAAGCGAACACAGTGGAGACGTGCGGCTGAAGCCCTATTTTCCTCTAGCAATTAAAGGAAAGAATAATAAATATAATAATCATGATAAAGATATTGTAACAACAGAAGGCAAGAGTCAGGCAACAGATCATTTATTAAGGAAATCAACGCATATTTATATATTTTCATGTACATTACTATGGATATTTAAGCAAACAAACACAGTCTTCCGATTGGTTGTTTCTCACGTAAAGTTAATCTTTCATCTCTTTGTGACTGTTTCTTGAATGTCAAATCCTCTATATGTTAACTGCATCCGCCTACGCAAAGTCTGCTGTCGTCGGTTTTGAATCAATCTTTGTTCACATTTTCTCACGACAAATCTTGGGAACGTAAATATTGACGTAAATTACTGTCTACCAATTTGGCTAGTAGACAGCTCTCACCATATATATATATATATACATATATATATATATATATATATATATATATATATATAT